GGTCTCCCATGGCCGACGGGCAGCAGCCGCTGCCTTGCCCGCTCTCCCTGGCCGCCGTTGGACCCTGCTGCCAACAAAACCACCCGGACCCCCCACCCCACTCCCTCCCCATCTCCGGCTGCACCCCAATCTTTGCTGTACCCCCATCCCTGCTGCTCCCCCCTCCACCAGGGCAGCATCCTCTGGCAGATTTAGCATCGAGGACCTGGTTTAGCATCAAGGGACCACAGGGCTGGAGAGGGGAAAAGGGACGTTTGGTTCTCCAGACGCTCGCACATCGCTGCGAAAGACTAAAATAGACCTAAATTTATATAGATTTAAAAAAATAACTTAGGAGGCAAACTCGCTACCTTTCAGGAGGGGGGAGGTCACTGTACAAGGCCCCTCGGAAATCGCTCACCGGGGCTGAGCTCGCGCCGGAGCAAACGCCGCCATGAAGTTCTTTAGGGAAACGATTGCAATTCCTGTATATATATATCTATATTTCTCTCCCCGCGGGGAGCGCGTCCTCTGATTATCTCTAAGCAAATGTGCGTTACCACGCTCGCTTCCCAAAAGCCATCCTGCCCGCCCGCACCATTGCACTCGCTTGTCCCCGGCCCCAGCTTGCCTCATCTTCCCCCTCCCCTCCATGGGACTTCATCCTGAGGCTGGATCAGAAAATCCCATTTTTCCTGTTTTCAGGCAGTTTTCCCACCTCTCCTTGCTGCTGCACACCAGGGAAGGATGTGCAGCAGCTTTTTCTTAGGGCAGGAGGGACCTTTTCGCCCGCCATGGGGATTCATTTGCCTCCCACCGATGGAGGAAGGTTGTGCATCGCCACCGCTCACCTTGCAACAACACCCTGCGATGCTTCGGTCGCAACAAACTATCTCTGATTGCTAAAATCTCCCTGCTACCGTTTTTTTCCGGTTTTTTTTTTGTTTTTTTTTTTTTAAAGCATTTTGTCATTTGGCACCGATTCCCAAATGCTTTCGCTCCACCCGAACCTGCAAGTTTTCAACCCAAAATGAGAGGCTGAAGTGATGCGCCAGCTCCTGGGGTGGGCTCCTCCAAGAGCTGAGAGCAAATGATGTTCAACTGCTGTAAGAGCCTTTATCACCACTTTTCATGTTCTTTTTGTTCTGTTTTAACCAGTTCGGAGTCTTTTGGAGGATCCAAACAAACTGTCCGAGACCCGGCCGTGGCTGTGCCTTGGGTGGCAGCGGGGGCCGTGACACACGGCGAGAGGTGGGATGTTTTTTTCTTGCCTTCTTTGCTTGATAAAGAGGTTTAAAAACCTCCTTGGACAGAGCCAACCTGGGGGTTCCCATTTTCCTCGAGACCTTACACCCCTGGGCCCCCCCCCAAGCTGGGGGTGCAGGGATGAAGGCAGGAGGAGGCAGCCGGTCCCTGGAGCATCCCCAGCTCCTGGGAGCTCGGAGCGATGGATGACGAGCAAAATCCAACACATGGAGATAGAAAAACACAGATTTGGGATAAATTTGGCCTCCCAAGCTGGCTTTGCTGGTGGTGTTCCCCTTGAGATCCCTGACTGGCACCCAAATTCAAGTGAAGAGGAATGCTGCGAGCATGGGAAAACTTTGGGCAAACTCGCTAGCAAAGGAATAAATGTCCCCAAAACTGGTCCCGTGGGAACCAGGTCTGGCAGCAACCGGGAGCACTGTCCATCCAACCCCTGCCAGATTTGGCCATCACCGTGACCCCAAGGGAAAGCTGCTCGCCCCGGGTCGGGTGGCTGTGCCCTGGCTTTTGCTGAGGATTGTCATCGCGGAGCCCCTCTGGGGCTTCTCTAGGGTCTAGTATGGGGTTGAGCTCACGCTGTGGCAGTCCCTTCCCTACCAGCACCCAAATACCCTGCATGATTTCAAGGCATTCCCAGGGGGATTTGGTATTTCTGCGCATCTCCATCATTTCCAGAGGAAATGGGGTTGAAACCCCATGGCCGATGCGGTGAATCCTACGGCCACGGGCAGCATTCCTCGAGCATCCCGTAGGGATGGGGGTTTGTGGGGGAGCCAACGGGGCCACGTGCCGGTGGGATGGGGAGGAAAAGCAGCAGGGAAACCATCAATATGACATTTCAGTGGAAGAAATACGCAGCCGTTAATGAGCTCGTTGCTGTTAACAACCTGGGCAATTAGGAGCCACCAGGAGGGCCAGGGAGACGCAGGGCTCTCATTACCGCCAAACCTGTCTCACTGTGCCAGCCACCTTCATCCCCAGCCGAGGAGGAGGAGGAGGAAGGGATGCATCCGAGCCCAGGCAAAATGGGAAAAAAACCCCACTTTCCATCTTCTAATCCTTGAACCCGCTCAAGGTCTTGTGTCATCGCAGGATTTTTTTGTAAAAACGTGGCTCTGCTAAGCCAGAAGTTGGACTTTTTGGGAACGCCCCAAGGGGAGGCGGATGGTTTGATCTGGTCTGGGCGACACACCGAAGCACCAAATTCGGGTGAGGTTGTCCTGCCGTGACTTACAAAACCCTCGCGGCAGCGGGGGGACAGGGACGCAGCACACCCACGGCCACCAGCAGACACGGCCACCGATAGCACCGGCAGCCGCTCCGGCCTCGCTGGCGAGCACAGAAGGTTTCTCCAAAAGTCCTCAAGACCTCCCCTTGCTTTCCATCACGCCGTCCTCGCTTTCCCCAAGGCCCGGAGGAGCCGGGCAAGGGGCTGGAGACGGGCTAGCAGCAAACCCAGAGCAGCCACCTTCAGTCTTCGGACACAACTCTCCAACACGATAGTCTTTAAGCATAGAGTGTATAAACATGCTGAGTATATAATTTTCCTTTAAAATCTTTTTTTTTTTCCTTCTTTTCTTTATAGAAATAAATACTTACTTTGTTTTTTTTTTTAAGGGAATTTTGCAAGTCTCTGCGTTGTTTTGAATGGTGACATCTCCGCTGGGACCACGCTTGTGGGATGGACGCCGGGTGGTTCCCGGGGGGTTGTAGCTTTGCTGGGTGGTATTTTTTGCTGGTCGGGGCATCCCTTGCTCCTCTTGCCCCTGGATTATGCGTGTCCCAGCCTCCCCGGGGTGGAGGTAAACCCACGGCAAGCACGGTGGGGAGCTCCTTCCCGGTGCTGGGGAGTTTTTCCAATGCTGCCCATGGGGTCATGGTGGGATGTGGTAGCTTCTCACAGGCATTTTTTTGGGCTCCCACATTTTGTGCATACAGGGAACAGCCTTCTCCTGGAAAGCTGCAGTCAGTGGGGGAACGGAGGTGCTTCAGATGGGGGGTTATGGCCAAAAAAACCCTACCCTGTTTCAGAGGTGACAGCGTAGATGGGATGAAGGGTGGATGAAATGGTCTCCTGAGGTGCTTTCTGGGGTTGGAGACCCAGGAGCTGCCTCCAGCCCACCAGCAGCTTCAGTAGTTTGGAATCGATTTGATTTTCTGTCGGGGTCCCCGTGGGTTGTTGGCATGCTGGGAGTGCCTGGCTGAGGTCTGCAGCTCTCATGCCGTAGATGAGGAAGGTGGTACCGGGATGGGTCTGCAGCCTTCTCCCTCCTGGGGGGATGCTCCAGGGCAGCCCATCACCCTGGGAGGGCTGGAGGAAGGGAAGATACCCTGGGAAGGACCATCTCCTTGCAGCCATGCTGGCCAACAGGCACTGAAACCTCCAAGGTTGGTCCAGAGAAGAGGACAAACCCCCCCAAAATCTGCTTTTCTCGGTTGGCTCCTCTCAGCTCAGCGTGTTGGGTCCAAGCACGCCTGGTTGGGGCTCGGGGTGGCAGGGGGCTGTGGTTAAGGCCGGTGTGTCCCTGCTGCTGGCAGTGCTGTGACGGGTGTCCCCCATGGCGTGGGCACCTCCTGGCACCTTCTCCCCAGGGTGGAAAATGGAGATGCCTGACCCTGCTGGATGCCTTTCAAAAGCCTTTTCCTTTGGAAAAAAAAAAGGGTATTTTGGGGGTGATGATGTCCTTGCAGGCAGAAGACAGCCAGAAGAAAAAAAGCAGAATTAAGAAAACAGCTGTGGCCATAGATAAGGGATCTACCAGGGCCGTTGGGTTAGTGCTTTCACCAGCAGCTTTGGATTTCAGGACAATTTGGCCAGGGTTTCTCCTTCAGGCTGCTCAGGAAGGTGATGAGATGGCAAACGTGGGCGTCCCATGCCAGTCCCTCTTTCCGCATGGGACAACTCGCTCCGGAGGAAGCCTGAGCAGGTGGTGGATGTTGGTGGGGACAGAAGTATGATCCGTGTTTCCTGGTGGACGAGGATTGTGGAGATGGTTTATTGCCTTGACAGGAAGGTTTTGCTGGAGAGGAGGTGAGGCTGGAAACCTCTGGAAGAGCGACCATCTCTCCTGGTGTCCTCTGGCTCCTACAGCCCCCGAGATGCAGCTCTGCCATCTGGGCTTGTGCTGTCGTGGCTGCTGGTTTCTGGGCAGTATTTGCCCAGGTTTGGGTGCCCCTCTGTTAAACAAATGAAATCAAAACGAGCGGAAACCCTGCAGGAATGCTGGGCACCATTTTCTCTGGAGGAACGACCCCTTCCCACCCCACCTTCACCAGCCCATGGAGAGGACGGGGATGGTCCAGCCGTGATGCAGTGACGCTGAGCCCAGTGCTCTGCAAAGAGCCCACAGGGACAGGCTGAGCCATCCTCATCTCCCACACCATCAAACAGGCAAAAAAAAAACCCAGAAAGAGAGTTTGAAGAAAAAGACATTCCCCAAACAAGGATCCTTGGCAGCGAGCAGCCACGGGTGTTTCGAAGCCATCTTCCCTCCCGGGAAAGAGCGTAGCCCTGCCTCTTTAGGCAGCCAAAAAATTTCCTTAAGTAGCACCTTCTCGCCCGTGAGCTGGCCCCGGGGATGAGCGCCGGCCGCCAGTCACTAAGGCCTGCAAAAGTTTGGGTTTTTTGTGCATGGGCCGGCATCTCCGTGCTCCAGGTCTGGCAACGGATGAGCGGCAGACGGTAGGTTTGGTTTCACGGGGCCTCTGGCTCCGCTGGGCAGAGGAGGGAATGTGCTTTGTGGTTCCCTGAAGGTCTAACAGCCTCCTTCCACTTTGATGTGTAAAATCTTGGAGAAGCCAGGTCTCTTCCTCAGGGCCTGGAAGAGGAGCAGAGAGCACAGTCAGTGCACAACCTGCCAGTCTTGCAGCCCCACAGGGTGAGCAAGAGAGAGGAGAGGACATCTCAAATCCCCACCATGGGAAGGGGTCCACCTGGGTCCCATCCCCACCACCGCATCCCACGGGGATTTGGCTTCCTTGCAGGACTGGCTCAATGCCTCTTAATCCCATGCCCTTGAAGCTAGCTCTGGATTTGGTTTCTGCTTGGTTAAAAATGTTGTTTCCAGAAGACAGTAGTAGTTTGGGGCAGACGACATCAACATGCAGGGGCACTTGGGATTTGCAAAGCACGGCAGTGGGCGGCCATGCAAGGAAAGCCCTTCCGAAATGGCTCTTCTCTGAAAGTGACCCCCACCCTGGGGGTGGACGTTGGTCTGTCTCGCTGCCCACTGTTTTTCCCATGCCGGGGCTTGGCAGCGGAGCAGGAATCGCATGAGCCATCTGACCCCATCTGACTGCACTGGTGGGCCTCCGTCCCCAAGTCCTGCTCTGCATCTCATGGGCTTTTTGCCTTACACCCCCATGGGAGCCCAACCTGCTGCAGGATGAGTCAAGGTGAAATGAAGGCACCTATTTTCCCCTTGGACACGGATGGAGTTGTCTGCCTTGGAGACCCTGAACAGATCAAGGATAGCGCAAGCCCTGCCGAGCATCACAAACTGAGCGAGGTCTGCAACTCAGCCTAAATAAAATTAACCGTATTTCTGCTTTCATGGGTGGGTTTTAAATCACTTCGCAGTGTTCAGCAAGTAAGTGGCCCTGCAAAGGAGGCAATAGCCCTTTTCTGTCCCCGGGGAAGAGACCTACAGAGAGGAAGTCCTGGTGAAAGCAATGGGAGGGAATCACAGTATGTTAAATCTTGTTTCAGCCTTTGGGGCATGTGTGTCTAAAGGACAGCGAGCCTTCAGGATGTCCCCGTTGAGCTATAATGTTCTCTACTGCGGAACTTCAGTGGTGGGCAAGAATTTGTCCTCAGACCCCATGGGGACACAAGACTGGTGACGCATGGGTGACCTGGGAATGGCATCCTTTACCTGGAGTTTGTTCACCATTTCTTCAAACATCTTCTTGGCTTCAGGGCTGTGGGGCTCTTTGAAGTAGTCCACAATGCCCACCTGCACGACGATGGACTTCAGGTTCCGACACACACCTGGGGGAAGAGATACTGCCTGGCCTCGCCATACCTGGTGGGGAGACAGCCTCCCCGCTGCCAGGATGGACCCTAAAACCCACCCAGTGCTCTTCAAGGCCTTGTGCATATCAGAAACCTCACCCTGAAGGTGGATGAGACCCACTTTTGGTGACCAAGACCTCTGTAGGGAGGACGGTGGTCTATGAGATGGTTCCTGATTGTCCTATCCCAAATCAGCAGTCCTACCGCTTCCTTGGGAGATCCTTACTCTTCCACCCAGAGGGGTGGGTTCCTATCAAGTCCAACCACAGTCACAAGTGCCATGACCACCAGAAACTGCACCTCAAACAGACCCTCCTGCCGGCTGCAGATCTCTTTCCCCCTAGAGCTCCCATCCTGGCAAAATTCTTCAGTAAATGGCTTGACTCCAAACTCAGATACACCAGGGTGAACCTCAGGTGTGCCACGGATATTGAGGCCTCGATTACAGTGAGGGGACCACAGAGAGAATGTCTCCATCCTTCCTGTGGCCCAAGGCAAGACCAGCTCTTAACGCATCCTTGGCAGGGGCCTGTTGGATCCCCTTTTAGAAAACTTCTACCATGGATCTCCCAGCACCTTCCAGTGTTGGCAGTGGGTTCCTGTGAGTGGGGCTGGAAGGCAGGGTCTGGTTCATGGATCTGGATATCTAGTGGCCTTTTGGTCAATGGATGATGCTATGCACTCCCCCAGCATTGCTACTCACTGTTGAAGTGCAGCAGGGCTTTGGGGGTGACTGGCGTGGAGGTCAGCACTAGCATCTCCAGCCCCTTCAGCCCCTCTCGACACATCTCCGCCGCGACCTCCTGGTTGATCTCTGCCACGTGGTCCAGCTCCAGGACCTGAAGCCGCATGCAGTTTCGGGCTGGAGGGGCAGAACACCCGCCATCAGCACCCCACGGGGAAGGGATGAGGACAGCCGATGGGAACAGGGTGGTAGGAGGGATGGGTGGCAGAAAGGAGGGGCAGAGTGCACCCATGGTCTTTGAGGTGGGCTTCTCCATTGAGATCCCCATGGGACATCTCCTAGGGGTATACCCTGCCTCCAGCAAGGTCTCCTTCTTCTTGTCCCATCAGAGGAGAGCTGCCTACCTAAGGACGCCAGTCCCTGGACGCCGCAGCCTGCCCCTCCGATGCCCAGTGCCCGCAGGTGCGGCCAGCACCGTCCGATCATCTGAAGGCAGCGGTTGCTGAAACGCGTCGGCTGCTGGCTGGGGAGATGAAGAAGAAAGAGCTGGGGAGGGCTGGCAGAAAAGCTCGTCCCCCACCACGAGTGCTTCCTCGAGTGGTGTTGGGGATGGGACCTCTCCCACCCCACCAAAGCAGGGGTTGCCACACTGGAAGGAGGTGTCTCCAGAGCAGACGTCTCCATCTGAGCAACCACCTTGGGTTGTGTTGCAACTGGGACAGGACAGGTCCATGCACTCAGTGGAGTCCCTCTGCCCCAAACCCTCTGGAGATCTGAATCAGGCCCTGAACTCTGTTTCTTGCAATGATGGAACCAGTAGCAGGAGCCTGGACCTCTAGTTCAGGTAGAGAAGTCTACATGCCATGTGGTGTTTCCCCCAGGGAAGAAACAAGCCACCAGGGACTTGACATGCAGCTTCTCCTGCTAAGAGACATCTCCCTCTGTACACCTCAGTCCAGGCTGACAGGGGACATGACATTGCAACAAACCTCCCAGGACAAGAAGAACTGCCCAGGAGGCAGCCCCATGGCACGGAGGTGAGGGGGCAAGTGACCTGCTCTGTGCACTCCTGAGCACTCATGCTGCAGGGTGGGGAACCGCCAGCATCTTCATGCCCCCAGAATGCTTTTCCAAAGCGAGAGCAACTACAATCCTCTCCCTAAGCAGCGACTTGACACCCTTTTAAAAACATCCAGACCCTTCAGGGCTGCTGTTATATGAGCAGTGAGGATCTCAGACAAGCGTTTGATCTTCACCATTGCCTACCAGACCCATCACAGCTCTCCTTTCATCTCTGGTGTTAGCAGCCTCCCTGGAAACACTCCCAGCTTGGCAGGGAGGTGCCTACACCCAACAGCTCCCAGCCTTCACAGAGAGGGATGGGGCTGAGCTCCTGGTCCCCCAAACTGGCCTCCAGGGTTGCTGCTCATCCCAGGAGGACCCCCATTCCCCCAAGAAAATATGGATCTGGCACCCAATTTCTTTCCAGCCCAGCGGTGCCCCTCACACTCAGCCTGGCCTCCTCCTAGCATGACTCTTACCATGGATGCAAAGGTGCGACCTGGAGGGAGATGATGTCCCTGCAACCCGCTCCAAGGGCCCAGATGACTTCATGACCCACGGGGTCCGTAGAGCTCCTGGAACAACACAGAGGACACACGGTGGCCCCCACTGGCAGTGATGCCGTCCCGGGGGCCATGTCTGCAGCCTCCACGCTGCTACATCTCGCTGCACCTGGAGGTACAAATCTGGTCATTATTTATAACCCATGATCTGCCCATGAACCAGACAGTCCCAACACCAACCCGTGCAGGAAGGCTGAAGGCATTTCTATCTGGAATTGTGCCTACAGATGTGCAACATCAAGAAAAATGGAAGAAGGTGAAGCTGAAGGTGAGATTGAAGATGAAGTAAGGCTGAAGGTAAAGGCTGAAGGTGTGGTTGGTGGTTGAAGGTGAGGTTGAAGGTGAGGTTGAAGGTGATGGCAAAAGTCTTCCAGATGCAAAGGTGGCAAGTGATTGAATTGAGACTGCCAGGCTGGGTACCCTTGCAGAGCAAATATAACATCCCCGCAGATCCCATTGGGTTGGTTTTACTTGCCACGTGGCCAGTCTGGATGGTGCCAGGAGGTGGCAAGGACGTTTCAGCGGATGGGAGCTAACTTCCAGCCAAGTGCAGTGGTTGCTCCACAGCCTCTGCACCAGCTCCACGGTTGTGCCACCACATCTGTAGGCGGCTGTTGGCCAAATGTCGCTGCAGAGGTTTGCTGTGGGCTCTTCCTTGGTGTTTTGGAGGTATCAAAACAGACTTCATGGGGTGCTGCTGGAGTTGCGCAGGAGCACAGCGGAGGTGTAGGTCTACCACGAGTCATGGCACCGACCAGGTGCGGCCATGCTGCCTGCCCACCCACCCGGCATTTGTGCCACTGGCTCAGAGGAGCTTTTGCTGATGCCGTCGGCTCCCAGCACCAAGTCAATGGAGGAGAGATGTCAGAGAGCGTCATCCTGATACCACCAGCCCAAACACAGGCCCCTGGCTGTTTCACCACACCAGGTTGCCTTCTGAAGACCGAGGCTGCACTTCCTAACTCTAAATGACCTACTTTGAAACTTCAGGCAAGCCTAAAAATAAGTGATGAGTGTTATCTTGAGTGTTTCACACATCTCCACTGAAGAAGCCTGCCAAGAGGCCCTTGCGAGTGTGGCAGGTTAATTAGAGCATGAGTCAGGGTCACAGGTTAGCAACATGCCAGGAGTACTTGGGCTTGCTCTAACGCCCTTGGAAGGGCCGATGGAGGAGTCTTTGGGTTAAACCCAGCAGCACTGGGCTGCCTCATGGTGTGGGATCCCCAGATCAGAGCCGTGTCTGAGCTCACTTGGGCCAAAGTGAGCCAGCTGGGTGTGCTTTCCCACCTGAAGGGTTCTCCATCCTGGGCTGGATGAGGACACCCATCAGCTGCAGGTGAACTGGATACCAAGGCTGAAGCGGTTGCCTGCAGGATGCAGTGGAGCAAGGATCAACCTCCCTGAGTGTGTAGGAAAGGTAAATCCTGTCTCCACAGGAGGCAGAGCCTCTTTGGAAGGTGGCCAAGGCCAAGGAGCAGTCAGTGATCTCCTCCAGGACCTGTGACCTCCTCCAGGACCTACACCATCATTGGCCTTCTGTTCTTGATCTTGGGCAAGGTCTCCAAGCTGGGTCTTAGCAATCCCGTGGCAGAGCTGTTCCTCCCTCCCTGGACAGTGGGACCCTGAGGTCTCTTCTCCCCGTTAGAAGCCTTCGTCAGGGGGTGATGGTCAGGTGGGACCTCACTGGGCCCTGGTGTTGGTGCACCTCTTCTTTACCCTTCTCTAACATAAAGCAGTGTCCCCATACCAAGACCCCGGTCACACCTCCAGCTGCGGTGAGATTGGCAACAGGATGATGGGAATGGAGCTGGAATGGAAACATCTGCATGGGAACATGCCAGAAGAGGATGAGAGTTGCAAGGACAGCTTGCACTGGGGACACTGGATACTGGGGCTGCCGCTAGGCTGGGGACATGGAAAGGTGGGTCCTTCACACCTGGCCAGGTGGGCTGCGTTCTGACAGGGAATGGGGATGGGCATCAGAGGAGTCCCAGCACATTCCATGGATGTTCCCAGCCTTCTCCCAGCCAGGGAACCACATGGTCCCCGTGGGCAAGGGGGGATGCCGGTGGCCATCCTTACCGGTACGTGACAGCCTGCAGAGCCCGGCAGTAGCAGCTGGCCAGCCAAAGCGAGCGGTCCGTCAGCACATTGGGGCAGTGTGAGATGCGGAGGATGAGCAGGTTGCTGCCCGTCGCCTTCAACAGGGACTCCAGCCCGGCTTCCAGGCAGCCCCTGCCGGAGATGGAGGCAGGGTCAGGCACAAGTGCCCACGCTCACCCTCCCCCTGGCCACCCCGGGGCCACCCCAGGAGGGTGACATGTTCCATGGGCATCCATGGCTCCAGGATGCCCAAAACCCACAGCAGCAGCCAGTGTGTGATGAACTGATGTCAGTGGAAACAGGACGTTGGGGCTCATGGAGCATTGTCATCCCTGAGGACCAGCGGCTCTGGCTGTGGGAGGAGGGTGCCCAGGATGCGGGGACTCACCGCGTGCTCTTCATGTAGTCCTCCTTGCTCTCCTTCTTCCCTCGCTGGCGCGGCTTGAGGTTTTGGAGGGTGAGGGAGTGCATCTGGGTGCACCACTGAGACAGCATGGCCAGGAACTGGGGGGGACAGGGGTGGCCGTCACCAAGGGGGACACCCTCAGCATGCCCCACGCCACCCATCCTTGGCTGCCTTTGGGTGGATCCGTGCACACACAGATGCTGTGAATATGTGAAAATGCACATACGAGGTCACGCAAGAGCGCGTGCAACAGAATCACGGGCGTGACCACAAAAGCACGTGAAAACGTGTGCACGTGTGAGCTCACGCCCACAAGCGTGAACGTGCAACGCATCCAGCTGCTGGTGCAAGCACACAGCTGCGTGCACCCATGTTCCCATGACCGCAATGGCACAGCAACCAACACAAGAAACGCGCTTGCACAGCTTCACCTTTCTGGAAGAAAGGTCTCGCCCCGGGCAGTGCCGTCCCCATCCCCGGTACCTTGGAGGACACCCTGGCGTTCTCCAGCAGCACCCGCGTCCACACAGCCGGGTGCCGGGCCACGAACTTCCAGTCCTTGCACACCTCGGCCGCCCGCAGCAGGGTCTTGGTGTCCAGGTAGGTGAAGATGCAGAAAAGAGCCGCCCGCATCTTGAGGATCTCGGGGCTGATCACCTCGCTGGAGTGGCCAGGGCTGCCCCTCTCCAGCCGTCCCACCTTGACCCCGGCCCCCTCGGTCCTGGCTGTGGGACACCCGCCACCGGTTGCCACTGGTGGCCAGGGAGGGCGGCAGGGAAGGGATGTTCCTCGTGGGGCTGAGGAGCCATCCCCGTCCCCCCACCTTCCAGCCTTCCCAATCCTCCCACCCCACCAGAAGAACCCGGCATGGTCTCACCCGTCAGCCGGCAGCTGCCGGCGGGTCGGGATGCGGCAGATCCGGGTGCCTCTGGCTCCCAGCCTTCGGCCTCCGACTCGGTGGTGCGGGAGCCCACATCGGAGACGTCACCCTCCTCGCCCTCGGTGCTGTTGCGGTAGGGCCGGCGATGCCAGTTTTGGATGGCTTGCCGGCGCAGCCCCGATCCCCGGGCGCCGTCCCGCGCCGGGTAGGGATGCCCGTCGGCGGTGTCATCGGTGGGACATGGCTCTGCGCTGTCACTGTCGTAGCAGCCCGAGCTCTGCGACACGGCTTTCGCACGGCTCGAGGCCCTGGGGGGACAGGGATGCCCAACCTCAGTGCTCACCGGGGTGCACGTCCCCTTCCCGCCAGCCAAAAAAAGACCATCCCATTAAAATCCCAAACAGGCAGCACGGAATGGGGGACTCACCCGGTGCTGGAGGAGGAGCGCTGGTTGGACACGCCGTAAGGACCGTGCACGGCCACCCCCGGCCCCGGGTGCCTGTCTCTCTGCGGGGAGATGGGACAAGAGGAGCCAACGTGGCGAAACCCAAAATGTGGGCGGTGCAGCCGAGGGAGACGACCCCGATAACCCACCCAGCGCCAGCCGCGTTTTGGGGTGAGGCCATACCCAAGTGGGATGCAGAAGAGCATCTCCAGCATCGCCCCAGCTTGCCACGGGAAAACAGACCCACTGAGAAGCAACTTCTTTTTGGGATCCCCCCCACCTCCTGGGATTATCCATTTCCCCACGGGAACGAGATGGGGGTCCCTACACCTCCCTGCTCAACCCCTTACAGCCATCAGAGAAGCCACATGGGTGCATGCCCGAAGCCGCTGGGGTGCCCGTGCCTGTGCCCGCGGAGGTACCGGTCGGCCGGCGGCCTTGGCCCCCGGCGTGCCGCAGCGTCCCAGGCTGCCATTTGGAGTGGTGCCGCAGCTGCTGCTGATGATCTGGAGCTGCTTCTCGGCCCGGTCCGCCCGGTCCAGCAGCTCCTCGATGAAGTGCTGAAGGCGGACCTTGGCGTTGGCCTCGCGGGCGGCCGTCTCCTTCAGGAACTGGTCGATCTGCAGCACCTCCCTGCGTGGAGGGACCGGTTGGGTGACACCCCAATACTTTCTCACCCGTCCCTGTTAAGGACCTCCATCCCTGTCTGTGAGCTGGGGTGGGGGGGTTCAAGGATGCCGGCGCGCATCCGGACCATTCCATCATCAGCTTGATTTGGGTCTGTGCCAGCCCGGACGGCTCCCGGGCATGGTTCGGGGCAGAGCGGGGACCAAGGGATGCTCCTGGCATGCAGGGTGGATGTGGCCACCTTGTTTTGGGGGGGATGTCATCCCCAGCACCTTCACTGGGATGCACATCGCTCCCAGGATTGGAGTCAGGCCCCTGAGCTAGATGGAGCGGACGGAGGATGATGATGGCGCGGTGGGATGATGGAGGAAGATGGCAGTTGTACCATCTCATTCAGGGCAGACTTAAAGGAAAGACCTTAAGGGCAGCTTGGAGTCCTTAAACCCCACTCAGCCCCGTACCCCGTCAAGCCCTGTGGTTGCAGGGCCCCGGTTCCCCTCGTTAACACCTTAATTAGCAGGCGCTCAGGAGCTTCATGCCTGGGGATGGGCAGGGTTCACCCTGCTGAGGCACTGAGATGTCATCCCCAAAATGTGGCCAGCTCTAGGGTGGAGCGTGCCAGCAGCTCAGTGACCCGAGGTGGCCCCATCCCACCCCGCACACGCGTGGGCCCGGCACGCACACACCTGCCGACCTCATCCGCTTCCCCAAAAACATCGGCATAACACACAGGCACATGCAGGAAAGTGAAGGAAAAGGAGGGGACAGCCCTTTAGTGACATAATTCTCGTTGCTGGTTATTAATTGCCGTTTAAACCAATTCATTGCCCCGCAACCTGTCATTTACAAGGTGAGCCTGGATGCTTCCCAGTAACGATTTGGGCAGGCTCCCAGCGAGGGGCCTCCAGAGATTTGGAAGGCAAATGGGGCTCTGGCATGGCAGATGTAAGGTGATGCTCGTGGTTATCATCTCCATCTCTCTCGTTCCCATGGACCGTGTGGAAAAAACACCCCCGGCAAAGCAAACGGAGCCCAGGAGCAAAAAGCCTCCCATGGGGATGACGGCCTCGTGGTGTTTCGGAGCTGGCAGGGCTGGGAAATGTCCCTGGCAATGTGTTGTTCTTGGGGAAGGGTGAAACTGGCTTTGCTGATGAAAATGATTTCTGATGGTTTCACTACAACCAGGAAAAAACCCATCTCTTTTCATCAGCTCTTTCCATGGTCTCTCTGCAACCTGGCAAGTGATTTTGTCACTCTGGCTGGAGGAGTTTGGACTGATGAGGACAGTCAAGGAGCAGGAGGGTTTCTCTAAGGAAAGGGAGGTCCGGGAGGTAGTTTTGGGGCATAAAACCAGGTTCTTACTGGTAATGGTGTCCAGGCTCCACCACAGACCGAACAAGATGCATTTGACCCCTTGGTCACCCTCCATCCACCCTGTCTTACATGTCTCCAGGCCCTGCTCCAGACTTGTCCACTCTAGTGGCCCTCATCCTGCCACCCCCCCCCCAAGATGCCCCTGGACAACACCCACGAGGCAGCTGATGGCAGCCCCCCAACCTCCCCATGGCCTGTCCCATACACATGCATCCAAACCCAGAGGTGTTGCCCTTATCCAGCCCCAGCACCATCCCCATTCCTCACCCCAGGACCATCCCCACCACCAGCAAATCCTGTGAACCTTGTTTCTGAGCTGCAGGCATTATTTTGGAGTCAAAGTCATTAACGAACATGCTGACAATGGTGGGGATCAAGACAAGTCCTTGAGGGATCCCACCAGTGCTCCCAGCCCAGCACAACCGTGACTATCCCCCACTAACCTTTTCCTCACTGACTTTCTGGACCCCGTGGTGGTCTCCAGCTTTGCTAAGAAACTCCTGAGGAACAAGGTCTAGTTTGCTTGAGCAACATCAATGGGCAAAATGACCCAACGCTTTACTGGAGGGAAACTCAGGAGTAGCACTGGGCTGGGAAGGGTGTGTTGAGTGGGAACATGGGAGGAAAATGAGGATAACAGTGCCACGGTCCTAACAGCAAATGGAGGTCATACTGCTTGGGCTATCCTACCCTCCTTCTGGGAGAAAACCCCCAAATTAGGCATGGCCAAGGTGTCCCCTCTCATGTTTATAACCATGGGACAGGTCGATGGAATTGTATAAAGCCAGATGATCCAGCTGTGGAGCCAGATGGGATGACCCAGCCCTGGTTTTGGGAGGACACCATTTGGTACTAGATATGGGCTGCAGCAACATGGCCACCACCATGCTCCTTGGTAGGACAGCAGGATGGCCATGCGCATCCCCAGGCTGGCCATGTCCTGGGGGCACTGGTGGCTCTGGGACAAGGTATGGCATGATGTGACTCAGCTTGGTCACAGACAGGGAGAGGCTCAGGTCTACGTGGACACTGCCCACGTGGGAGAAGATGCAAAAACCCGATGAGAGATGATTCTAATGGGGATTGTCAAAGGGATTGTGCCCTAGCACTTGGTCTGAGGGTTTGGTGATGGTGTTGGGCTCCTCAGGGCTCACCACCAGGGACCGATTTCCCCCCACCCTGCAACTGGGAGAGGGGACGAAGGACTCACTGTTGCTTGCGGGTGAGTTCCTGCTCCTTCTGCACCAGGTCCTGCTTGAGGGAGGCCAGCATCTCCACGCTGACGTCTACCTGGCGGGACAGTTCGGATGCCCGGTCCTCCAGCTCCTGCTTCTCCCGGCTGAGCCGCAGGCTCTCCTGCTTGGCCTTCTCCAGCTCCGAGCTCTTACGGTCCAGCTCCACCTGGAGCCGGCCCACCTGCGAGGCGATCTTCTGCTCCACCTCCTCCGTCAGCTTCTCCAGCCGCTTGTCCACTTCCAGCTTCTCAAAGGCGCGGATCTTCAGGCGGGCCAAGCCTTCCTCGTAGGCAGCGTCCATAGCGGCCGGCGGCACGGGGGCCGGCGCCACGGCTTTTCCCCGGGTGAAGATCTCCGTCAGCGGGATCTCGATCTCGTGGACATAGCGGGGAGAGGGGGAGGAGGACGGGGCCGGCTCCAGCTCCTCGGCGGGGACGAGGTCGCAGGAGAAGCGCTGGTCCTTGCCTTGGAAGGAGGTGCTCTCAAAGTAGTCCCGCCGGGCGGCCGGCGTCAGCAGAGCCCCGTCGGCGGCCAGGGGGAAGACGGCGGCATCGCAGATGCTGTTGGTCTTGGAGAGGACGTAGAGGGTCTCATAAGTGTGGTTGTACTCCAGGTGCGCCCGCAGCGAGGAGAGGCTGCGGAACCGCTTGTGCTCCCCGCACCGCGGACACCGGTAGGGCAGGTCCAGCGAGGCCATCCCTCAGCTACGCGCCCCGACGCAGGGGAACCGCACGGCCCCGCTCATGGCGCGGGGTGGATGGACCGGTGGCACGTGGGATGGGTTGGGGAGCCCCGGGCGGTGGGGTCGTGGCTTCGCTGGGGCATGGCGGGATGAGAGGCCTGGGATGGAAGCGGGGGGTCCGGCACTTCCTGGCGGGGGTATGTCAGCATCGGCTGGGGCCAGGCACTGGAAGAGATGGCGGGGGGTTAGTGACACAGGAATGATGGATCACCAGAAGTCCCTCCTTGGCCCTTCTTCCTGGTCCTTTCTCTGCAACCATCCTCCCCTCCCGTGTTCCTCCCACTCATGCACAACCCTTGGGAGGATGCACAATGCTCAAGAAGGTGCACAACCCATGGGAACGTGCACAACCCTTGGGAAGACCCACAACCCTTGGGAAGATTTACAACCCTTTGGAAGATCCACAACCCTTGGAAAGGTGCATAACTCTTGAAAGGTACGCAACCCCTGGGAAGATCCGTAAACATTGGGAAGGTCCCCTGCTCCTCGGGAAGGTGCACAACCGTTGGGAAGGTTCATAACCATTTGGGATGAGGACAGCTGTCAGGAAGGTGGGAAATCTCTCTCTGTGTGCCCTGAGCTTGCCACAGAGGGGTGACCCATGTGCTTTCTTGCCCAACCACACCATGCAATGAGCCCCTGCAGTGCCAGGGGTCTCTAGGCCCTGTGTCTGATGCTGGAGCCAGGGTGCTGGGAGCCACCTCTTCCAAGCAAAGGGTGACCCAGTCCTGCTAGATCAGCCCATGCAGCCTTGCAGCAGGGATAGTTACTTCTCCAGCCCCTCACCGCAGCCGTTGGGTCTTATCACTGATCCCCTCTGGGGCTGTGGGACCCCCATGCTGTGCTGTCCTGGTGATACAGAGGACCTGGTGGCTTCCCACACCCAGGCAAGTGAGGGTCCCTGCAGGGATCTGGTTTATCCCCCACTCACAAAACCCTCCAAGACATTTGGGGGGGAAAACCCCACCCTTTTGAAATGGGATAAGCCAGCAAAAATCCAGCCTAGGAGGTCACCGTGGTCTCCTCCAGCCTGGGAGGCACAAGCACCTTTCGAGGTGCATTTTTGTGCTGTTTTCACCCCAAAGCACCGAGGGCACCCATGGGTGGGATCATCCCTTGCTCATCGCTCTGCAATATCCCACAAAGGGCTCTTCCCACCATCCTAAAACCCCTCTGAGCCCCTCTGCACCCCACAACCGCCAGCCTTGGCGAGCACTAAACAGCCACTGAACCCTCCATCCATGCTGGTCCCCAGGGCGGCATCCCCCGCGGCTCAGCACCCCCCCTCGGAAGGCACAACGGGGCCACGAGGTATGGGAAACCATTTTTTAGGGAAAAAAATCAGTAAAGGCAAGAAATCCATGCAAAAAAACCCCCAGACAAAAACCAAAGATGTGCTGGGAGGATTTCTGGAACTGCCCGGTTTGGGGGGGTCATTACAAAACGGACCCTCGCACGTTAACCCCGCCTGGGCGACCACCGGCACCAGCCTGGCCGAAACCCGGCGAACACAAAGCACCGCCGGCAACTTCGGTTGCTGCCGATGGGATGAGAAAGCGCTTTTCCACCGTAGGGATGGGGCCACAGCATCGTGCCACTGATATTTCAGGCCTGGATCCCTGCCCTCATCTCCCGGGGTACCCCATCATCCTCCGTCCGTATTTCCCAGCTGTAAGCCAAGGCAGAATCCGGCCCAGGCAGGTCCAAATGCACACATCGCCCAGTCCCTGTCCTGGGCATGTCCTACCCTGACCACAAAACCTCTCCTCCCTCCTGCCCCCCCCACCAACGATCAGGATATAAGGAAATTATTAGCGGAGTCATTACTACGGCGGCCACGCTAATAAAGCCCACAGGCATCCGGAGCCGGGAAATGCTCCCAGCCGCCGGGAGATTGCAGCAGCGGGCGAAACCCATCCCTGGGCTGCTTCTGTGCCGCTACCTGCGATTCATCATGGATCCTTTCTTCGCATTGTTTAACATTTTTTCTGCCCACCCCCCACCCCAAATTAAAAAAAAAAAAATTACCAGCAGGCAGCTCTGCTGCCTGGTTGAAGAGGGAAGGGGGGGATGGAGAAGAGGGGTGGCGGTGGGGGATGCTGCCGGCACCTTGTGCCCGCTGGTCCCCATCCTTCGCCGGCTTAGGTTGCAGCGGGGTGGGGGGCACTGCGGTGGGCGAGGGTGGCTGGGGATGAGGC